ATAGATTAGGATCTATAGTTGTTTTGTTCCCCAAACCTCATACAAATTGGGTGTGGGAAAAAGAAGGGGGGGGGTAAGGAAAAGGAAAAAGAGGAGAAAGTGAGAGAGCATATCCAGGAGTGGGCAACCAGATTAAACATCACACAACTTTGAGAGAAGGTCTGAGACCCAACATTTTAAATTAACTTCCAGCACCTTTTCAACTAAACTGTTTTACCTATGCCTGCAATACTAGAGAAACATAGATCACTGTATACCTCATATGTCTAATAATCTGAACACACACTTTTTAAACTGTTACTACTTTATATGCATTAATGTGGAACTCCAGAACAAACATTTTCTGTTTTGAACCCCTTTCAGGTTACAGTTGTGTATGTTCCTAACTGGGAGTTTTCTCCTCACTTCCTTCTGTGTAACTGGGACAGAAATTGGGGAGAATATCTCGATTTGGTCTCCGCAACAAATGATTTCAGCTGGTAAAGAGGGGAGGGTTTATGAAGTAAATTTTTTGTTGCTACATTGTGTCCTTATACGAAACAGTCAACAGTCAAATCTTGACAGAGGTTCTACAAAGGCCATGGAAACACCAATCAATACTAGTGTGCATGTCCATTGATTTACTCAAAATACAACAACACTCAAAACTAGAAAGAGCGCCAGAAACAGGGCAACAAAATAGTTCCGGTATTGACCTATGTAGACACATCTGCAACACTGGATTAGTGCCCCCCCCCCATCCCTACCTGGAAATGGCAACTTTAAGGACCCAGATAGTGGACGTAGGTAAGTATATCTTATTTATTTATTTCAGGTACTTTACGCAGCACTTTAACATTGTACATTCACATCAGTCCCTAACCCTCAAGGGGTGTACAATCTAAGGTCCCCAACTCACATTCATACATACACATACTAGGGCCAATTTAGACAGGAGCCAATTCACCTACCAGCATGTCTTTTGGAGTGTGGGAGGAAACTGGAGTACCCAGAGGAAACCCACGCAGGCACAGGGAGAGCATGCAAACTTCAGGCAGGTGGTGCCGTGGTTGGAAATTTGAACCAACAACCCTAGTACTGCCAGGCAGAAGTGCTAAACATTTAGCCACTGTGATTTATTGATTCACAATAAAAACCTCCATAATGGGTTAGACAGGGAGGGTGTGCATGTTTTGCCTAGGATGGACTTTCTTATTAAAAATTACAATGTTGTTCTCTTTTTAGGATACAGAGGTCATTCCTTTCCTCTCCTCTGTTTTGTATGACAAGACTCAGTGGGAAACACCTTATGAGTTTAGCTCAAACCACTTTTTAGGTGAAGCTGGAAAATTTGTAAAACGAGATGCGTTTATGCCCTTCTCTGCAGGTAGGTCACCAAGGTTATTACACAATATTGAAGGCTATCATACATTATTTGTTTCTGTGTCATTTCACAGAGAGACCTTTAAAAACAAATGCTAAAATTCACTTAAAACTATACCTAGTCTGTACAAGGGCATTTATATCCTTAAAGTGTTACTAAACCCAGGACCCTGCATTCACTATATCTGGTCTCCCACAGTACACATGACATGAAAATGCAATTATTTTAGTAAATATAAACTGCTAAATACCTTTTCTCATCAGCAGTTTATAGCAGTCTTGTGACATCCATCAGTGTCCAGCAGAGCACTAGTTAAAGTTTTTAAGAGGAGTTTTCATTCTCCCCTGATTGTCCTATGAGGCTGCATAAGCCCTGAATCTCTGTCTGGACAGTGCTGATTGGCCCTGTGCTCATCACACTAGCAATACACACCAAACTGAGTATGTACAGCTTGCCCCCAAGGCTCTGTTCTATCAGCAGATAAATCAGGGACAGACGAAGAATGGAGAGGATCAGAGAAGACAGGATCAAACATCCTTTTTATAAATGCAAATAATTAACCCCTTATGTTCTACAGTGAGTATAACAAGCATGCTTTACTCCATATACAGACTGATTTTACTGTTGTGGGTTTAGTAACACTTTATGGCTCTTTGTTTAAATAGTGACAGTAGATATGAAGTGGATATATACCTAAAGCCCATCTATGGGCAAAAATTAAATCTCTCATCACTCAAATCTTTCATCCCAGTATGAGTAGATTTCCCTTGACTACAGATTGGGAGCTGCAGCTCAAGTCACAGTATCTTCAAAAGCAAGAAACAGCTTTACCAAATGTCCATGGGGTTTTCATCACTTTACACACTGATTTTTCCTAAGGTTGAAATAATTCCCATCCCATTGGGTAACTGCTAAATATTTTGAGCATCTGGTAGTTTTCAAATCACAGTAGTCAACATCACAGTTCAGCTACTAAAGTACCTTAGGGTCAGGCATACCTCTACCACACCATTCTATCCATACAGTAGATTTAGTCCTAAATCTTTGATTTCCAGACTGTGAAGCATTGATCAAGCATACATTATGTAATCGCACAAAAATCCGTGCAGCCGCACCACTCACACAGAAGAATGCGGACCCGCGGGCGGGTGCCATTTATTCTAATGGCACGCCACCCACACTGGAAATCGCAACCGCACTGGGAAAAGAGGTTCCCGTGCAAGCTGCGGTTTCCAAAGAAGTGCAGGGATTCATTCCTGCGTGTCAAGGGGCACGGGAGTCCATTAAAATGAATGGGCTCTTGTGCCCACGCAAAACGCGGCCCGCAGGAACACACATATGTGAACCAGGGCTAAGTGCATATGTAGGCTCTGATTCACGTTTATTAGTTTTCCTATTTAGTTCTGGCTTCCTAATCCATTTTACTATGTATCAACAGTTGCTGAGTGAGAGTTATTGCACTGAACCACTGGAAGCTCCTTTTGGTGGCTACACAGCAAAGACCAAGCTTGTAAAAAATATGATAGACTTACCAAAATTACTTTTAGATAAACATTGCAATAATTTAAAAAAATATGTATTCACTGAAATGACACTATACTTTACTATTAAATAAAAAAAATGTAACATTGAGGCATTTTATCAATAGAAGGAAACACATTTCTCTTCCAAATAAAAGTCCTGTGTGTGACAAACGTGGTGCCCGACCCCTGCCCTTCTCATCAACTCATAACAAAGGAATGGCCAATCTCACACCACGCTGTCACTTATGCAACAATGCCACACTCAGCTGCACCCTGCATAAAGATTTTCCAGCTCGCGGTACCACAGTCTAAGTGCCAACAGCCTTACAGAGCAATTGACACTGAGCTAAGTTAATGAAGCAATTAACCCTTTAAACTCCCGCCACCACCTTTTTACCATCACAATCTTAGCAATAACAACTATGATTTAAGAATAAACGTCTGTAACACGCACTTTCACACACAGACAGGTATGGTTGGAGATTTATACTACAGTAGCACTCTTCAAGAGACAGGGATTCTTTTAGTTTGCATTAAAAGCCTTAGGACATTTTCAACACTTTTCAGAACAGGGTTTAATAATCAAAAAGGTCAAAATGGTGCAAATAAAATATTAACAGAAAAAGGTGTTAGACAGTGTCAGGGCTCCCAGGTATGACCAGAGATGTGTGACTGATGCAGGGAAACGCAGACTTCAGAAATGTGATAAACAATATAATTTATTAACACTAACCATACAAACATAAACACAGTGCAATACTAAACATAATACAGTGCAAACAAACCAAACCAACCACCCACAGATAACAGTACATACAAGCAAGCGTCGTCAGGCAGGCCGGGTCAATATCAATTGGGCAGGTAGGTACGGGGGGAGCAAGCAGAGAATGGTCGGGGTCACAGGCCAGGTTCAGCAGGTAGCAAGCAGCGAGGTACAGAGGGTCAGACAGAGGGGTGGTCAGGGTCACAAGCCAGGATCAGAGCAGGAGAAGTCAGCAGCAGTTCAGATCAGGGTCAGCAAAGGAACAGAAACAGGATGCAGGACAGATACAGGGCCCAGGACAAACACAACACCAAGGCAGAGTCTGCAAGTCTGGCCATCCCTTAAATACACACCAGTATCATCAGTTCCAGGTGTTAGCTGGCTGAAAGGTTGAGTCTCTGATTGCTGGGAGCACCCGCTGGCCAGCCCTGGTACTGCAGATCAAAAGGCAGGTGAGTCCCACCATTGCTGGCCAGTCCATTCCTAACAGTACCCCCCCCCTCAAGGAGCGGCCTCAGACGCTCCAAACAGTCCTAGCTGGGCAAAATGTTCCACCCGCCCGGGTCTGGCAACTGGCGGATAGCAAAGACTGGCACACCGGGCAGGACTCCGGGCAGCGGCACACCGGGCTGGACTCCGGGCAGCGGCACATCGAGCAGAGGCACTCCGGGCAGAGGCACACCGGGCAGAGGCACATCGGGCAGGACTCTGGGCAGAGGCACATCGGGCAGAGGCACATCGGGCAGGACTCCGGGCAGAGGCACACCGGCAGAGGCACATCGGGCAGGACTCCGGGCAGAGGCACATCGGGCAGAGGCACATCAGGCAGGACTCCGGGCAGAGGCACATCGGGCAGGACTCCGGGCAGAGGCACATCGGATTACCAGGCGAAGCAGCAGGCACCGGGCCCCCGGGCGGGGCGACAGGCACCGGGCCCGGCGACAGCCACCGGGCCCCCGGGCGGAGCGGCAGGCACCGGGCCCCCGGGCGGAGCGGCAGGCACCGGGCCCCCGGGCGGGGCGGCAGGCACCCGGGCCCCCGGGCGGGGCGGCAGGCACCGGGCCCCCGGGCGGGGCGGCAGGCACCGGGCCCCCGGGCGGGGCGGCAGGCATCGGGCCCCCAGGCGGGGCGACAGGCATCGTGCCCCCAGGCGGGGCGACAGGCATCGTGCCCCCAGGCGGGGCGACAGGCATCGTGCCCCCAGGCGGAGCGGCGGGCGCCCGGACCCCCAGGCGGAGCGACAGGTCTCGGGCCCTCAGGCGGAGCGGCGGGCGCCGGACCCCCAGGCGGAGCGACAGGTCTCGGGCCCTCAGGCGGAGCGGCGGGCGCCGGACCCCCAGGAGGAGCGACAGGTCTCGGGCCCTCAGGCGGAGCGGTGGGCGCCGGACCCCCAGATGGAGCGACAGGTCTCGGGCCCTCAGGCGGAGCGGCGGGCGCCGGACCCCCAGGTGGAGCGACAGGTCTCGGGCCCTCAGGCGGAGCGGCGGGCGCCGGACCCCCAGGAGGAGCGACAGGTCTCGGGCCCTCAGGCGGAGCGGCGGGCGCCGGACCCCCAGGTGGAGCGACAGGTCTCGGGCCCATAGGCGGAGCGGCGGGCGCCGGACCCCCAGGAGGAGCGACAGGTCTCGGGCCCTCAGGCGGAGCGGCGGGCGCTGGACCCCCAAGCGGAGCAACAGGTCTCGGGCCCCCCAGGGGAGCGGCGGGCACCGAGTCACCAGGCACGACAGTGGGCTCCGAGTCAACTGGTATGACCGCAGGCACTGGGTCAGACATTGTATGGTCTGGCTGGACAGCGGGCATCGGACCACCAGGCATCAGGTCATTTGGCTCGACAGCGGGCACCGCGTCATCTGGCAAGGCAGTGGGCTCCGAGTCAACTGGTATGACCGCGGGCACTGGGTCAGACATTGGATCGTCTGACCGGACAGCGGGCATCGGGTCACCAGGCATCAGGTCATTTGGCTCGACCACGGGCACCGCGTCATCTGGCAAGGCAGTGGGCTCCGAGTCAACTAGTATGACCGCAGGCACTGGGTCAGACATTGTATGGTCTGGCTGGACAGTGGCATCGGGTCACCAGGCATCAGGTCATTTGGCTCGACAGCGGGCACCGCGTCATCTGGCAAGGGCAGTGGGCTCCAAGTCAACTGGTATGACCGCGGCACTGGGTCAGACATTGGATCGTCTGACTGGACAGCGGGCACTGGGTCACCAGGCATCAGGTCATTTGGCTCGACAGCGGGCACCGCGTCATCTGGCAAGGCAGTGGGCTCCGAGTCAACTGGTATGACCGCGGGCACTGGGTCAGACATTGGATCGTCTGACCGAACAGCGGGCATCGGGTCACCAGGCATCAGGTCATTTGGCTCGACAGCGGGCACCGCGTCATCCGGCAAGGCAGTGGGCTCCGAGTCAACTGGGTATGACCGCGGGCACTGGGTCAGACATTGGATCGTCTGACTGGACAGCGGGCACTGGGTCACCAGGCATCAGGTCATTTGGCTCGACAGCGGGCACCGCGTCATCTGGCAAGGCAGTGGGCTCCGAGTCAACAGGCACGACAGTGAGCACCGGGGCATCAGGTACCGGATTGTCTGGCTCGACAGCGGGCATCGGGTCACCAGGTATGACAGCGGGCACTGGGTCACCAGGCATCAGGTCATTTGGCTTGTCAGCGGGCACCGCGTCATCTGGCAAGGCAGTGGGCACCGGGTCACCAGGCATTGGATCGTCTGGCTCGACAGCGGGCATCGGGCTCACCAGGTATGACAGCGGGCACTGGGTCACCAGGCATCAGGTCATTTGGCTTGCCAGCGGGCACCGCGTCATCTGGCAAGGCAGTGGGCACCGGGTCACCAGATATGACAGCGGGCTCTGAGGTCAATTGGCACGACAGCGGGCACTGGATCAGGTACCGGATCATCTGGATCAACAGCGGCATCGAGTCAACTGGCCTAATAGGATCGTCGGGCTGGATCAGTTCATCATGCTGAGTAGCGGCATCAGGCTGAATGCAGGCATCAGGCTGAGGAGAGGCATCCAGGCTGAAGAGAGGCATCCGGCTGAAGAGAGGCATCCGGCTGAAGAAGGCAGAGAAGAGAGGCATCCGGCTGAAGAGAGGCATCCGGCTGAAGAGAGGCATCCGGCCGAAGAGAGGCATCCGGCCGAAGAGAGGGCATCCCGGCCGAGTAGAGGCTTCAGGCTGAGTAGAGGCTTCAGGCCGAGTCACGGAAGGCAGGCTCACCGGTTTGGATACTGGCAGGATGGTATTGGTTGGAAAGAATTTTCGCTTTTTTCTGGTTTTAACTACTGGAGCACTGCAAGTAAACGCAGGTCTGCAAACGAATGGAGCAGCTGGAGACAGAGAAAAACTGGAGGATGGAACAGGAGAGGGAGCAGTTGCTACAGAGGGCTCTTTTACAGGGTTAAAGGCAGGATAGGTGCAGCGAGTGGGAACAGGGTACTGACATGTGGTAGATAGCAGGGCAGGAGGAGCTGGTGGGAATACAGGAGTAAGAGTTAGAAGCAGGACTGGGTCTTTGTAAGCTGACTGAGGCTGGGTGCAACAAATCTGTCCATGTCTGCAGTAGGGGTTGAACAAAGCTGAGCTTACACAAAGTCTGTCTGGTCAATGACTGCACTGCGTTGATACAATCTCTTAGTGTCTGTGGTGAACATGTGGAGTAACGCTCCAAAAGGTAACCCACATCATCCTCTAATAACCACACCAGGGACTCTACCTGGTCTGCACTAAATGGTGGCAAAAATTCATCCCTGCATTCGGGGGAACCAGATGAAACCAACTCTGCACAAACCTCAATCAATGGCTGCACCTCAGAGAACACTGTGCCCTGATCTACTAGAACATGAGCGAGCCGTATACATTCTAGCATTCATCCCGGGTATACTCCTTCAGAGTTTGATAAGCATACTCCCTGTCATCAAACACTAGCAGATATAAATACTCAACCTCATCAAGATCCATCCTTCCCATCAACAAGCCAAGATGGCTTCCTGTGCAGCCACTTCTGGTCAGGATTGGCCTTGGTGTAAATGTCAGGGCTCCCAGGTATGACCAGAGATGTGTGACTGATGCAGGGAAACGCAGACTTCAGAAATGTGATAAACAATATAATTTATTAACACTAACCATACAAACATAAACACAGTGCAATACTAAACATAATACAGTGCCAAACCAACCACCCCACAGATAACAGTACATACAAGCAAGCGTCGTCAGGCAGGCCGGGTCAATATCAATTGGGCAGGTAGGTACGGGGGGAGCAAGCAGAGAATGGTCGGGGTCACAGGCCAGGTTCAGCAGGTAGCAAGCAGCGAGGTACAGAGGGTCAGACAGAGGGGTGGTCAGGTCACAAGCCAGGATCAGAGCAGGAGAAAGTCAGCAGCAGTTCAGATCAGGGTCAGCAAAGGAACAGAAACAGGATGCAGGACAGATACAGGGCCCAGGACAAACACAACACCAAGGCAGAGTCTGCAAGTCTGGCCATCCCTTAAATACACCAGTATCATCAGTTCCAGGTGTTAGCTGGCTGAAAGGTTGAGTCTCTGATTGCTGGGAGCACCCGCTGGCCAGCCCTGGTACTGCAGATCAAAAGGCAGGTGAGTCCCACCATTGCTGGCCAGTCCATTCCTAACAGTACCCCCCCCTCAAGGA